AACTGGAGCCACTGATAGCAGCAAAGAGCAAATGTAATTTTTTTACGAAACTATCCAGCCTTAGGATACGATTCAGTCCAATAAAATTCTGGATTCATCGGTATAGAGATCTGGATAACCGCAGTTTCTGAGATATTATTAGTTATGCGATTAATATTGGTAGTGGTGGTAGCTGATAAAAAGTAATAAACTGCTGGATAATAATCTTTTTTAATTTAATTTTAGACACTTTATAATTTTTTTATTTTTAGATACTTGAACATAGCTAATAACAACAGCAGTAATATAATTATGTTCGCATAGCTAATCATTTTGAGCTTTTTCTGGTGCTTAGACATCTGCAGCTATAAGAGAGGATGAGAAAAGGATTTTTTTGTTTTACATCTGTCGTTGTGCCAGTATTTGTTGCGCTTCGAGTGGATGGGACGAATTTTCGTGCGTTAAAGCATTTTTGTGGAATAAGTAATTCAGATCAGTACCATGCACTGGCGAGATGCATTGAGCTAAGTTGGCGGCGTGGCGATGTGGAGCAAGCCGAGAAGTATCTGAAAAATGCTCTGGATGCGAATCCCCGTGCCACAGTTGATGCCGGCTTCAATTACTGCAAGGGACTACACGAATGGTGTGCCAAACTTTGTCTTACAAATGTCGTGTACGTGGTACATACGCGAAAAAAAACTACATGGAAAATAAGTGCACGTGATGGCTATGGTACGCGTAACGGGAATTTGGTAATTTGGAAAGCTAAAACCTATAATATGTGCACTTGATGGTTTAGGACAATAGAATTCTTTTCGTGAGAGGAATTCGCGATTTTCAGCGAAAATCAAAGTGAAAACCCCTTCGTGTTTTCGTTCTTCGTGAGAGGCTAAAGCACTCAAAGGTACCATGGCGGCTGCGCGTTTCACAGATTAACCACTTGTTGAGTAAAAATCATAGAAAGCCTCTCTTTTCAGCGAATAGTTTGAAAAGTAACCTGAAAGCAACTTAAGTCCCATAATTATACAAAAAGTCTGGCGAAACCAATTCCATGTCATTGTAGAAACGAAGAAAGCTAATTTCGAAAAACTGCTTTTCTTACTGCTGCGTCCAAAATAAACTGATACATATTAATTAAACATATTAACAATTGCATTAGTTCAGTTATTTTACACTAAAAATAATATAAATTGAGATATTTTTCTAGAGGCAGTTTTTTTGCAGGTATTCTGGTGAGCCGAATGCAGCACTGCAAGCGTTTAATCGAGCG